GGATAGATAGAGGATAAGATAGATAGATAGATAGATAGATAGATAGATAGATAGATAGATAGATAGATAGATAGATGATAGATAGATGATAGATAGACAGACAGACAGACAGACAGACAGACAGACATAGGATAGATAGATCTATCCATCCAACTATCTCTCTATATATTTAAAGTGACCATTTCAAACCTCTGTCTTATGTAACTCAATACTCAGCCACCGAGCCTTGTGGTTTGGGATAAAAACATATTTTTCTACTATTTCTTGAGGTTTCTTTGCGGGCTTAGAATGGATTGGGGCTGAAATTTGGAGAGGCAGATTTTCCTGGCTTTTTAATTTTTTTTACAGGATTGGAACCAAGAAATGAATCTGGCAACTGGGCTTAAAGGCCAGGCCGTTCATTGGTGGTCAGGTTGGCACCCATCGGAACCAAGTTATTTTGTGCCTCGAGTCGTCCCCCCTCACACACACAACAACAACTGGGCCAAATGGAAAAAATATATATTCCCCCCCCCCCCAGCTGTTTCTCGTTGCTGAAAATTATTTGGCAGGCCTCTCTTTTATTTTCCTTTCCCTGGGCCAATGAAATAAAATCAAATTGCAGAAGTACGCTCCGTGCTACTTTCCGAACTCATTTCAGTTCCATTTTCTGATGAATTCTAGAAACGTTAAGACTGGGGGTGGTGGGGGGAGTTTTCTTGAGAAGGTGGGGGGAAACCCCTAAACTTTTCCTGATCAGAAACTCTGGATGGGAAATGAGGAGGCTTCCCAGCCATGATTTCTTCTCCTTTTTTCCCTTTACAAGCTGGATTTTAAAAAAAGGAAGCCAAATAGCAGGAAAGGAGCTAGGATGATTTGATTTGGGGCTGATCTTGTTATCCTGTTTCCAGTTATTGCCTTTTGCTGAGGCTTTGCATTCCATTGTAGCTCTTGTTTTCTTCTCTCCTTTTTTCTTTCTCATTCTCTTTCTCTCCCTTTCTCTCTTTCTCTTTCTCTTTCTCCTTCTTTTCCTCTTTCTCTCTTTCTCCCACTTTCTCTCTCTCTTTCTCTCTTTCCCATTCTCTTTCTCTAGCTTTCTTTCCCTTTCTCATTCTATTCCACTCTCCCTCCCTCCCTTTCTCTCTCTCTTTCTTTCTCTTTCTCTCTTTCTCATCCTCTCACTCTTCTTCTTTCTAGCTTGCTCTCTCTCTCTCCCCCTTATCTCTCATTTTCTCTCTTTCCCTTTCTCTCTCACGTTCTTTCTCTTTCTCATTCTCTCTTCCTCCCACTTTTTCTCTCTCTTTCTCTCTTTCTTTCCCTTTCTCCCACTTTCTTTCTCTTCCTCTTCCTCTTTCTCTTTCTCTCTTCCTCCCACTTTTTCTCTCTCTTTCTTTCCCTTTCTCTCTCTCTTTCTCTTACTCTTACTTTCTTCCTCCCACTTTTTCTCCCTCTTTCTCTCTTTCTTTCCCTTTCTCTCTCTTTCTCTTCCTCTTTCTCTCTTCCTCCCACTTTTTCTCCCTCTTTCTCTCTTTCTTTCTCTTTCTCTCTCTCTTTCTCTTTCTCTTCCTCTTTCTCTCTCCTCCCACTTTTACTCTCTCTTTCTCTCTTTCTTTCCCTTTCTCATTCTCTTCCACACTCCCTCCCTTTCTCTCTCTATTTCTTTCTCTTTTCTCTCTTTCTCATTTTCTGTCTCTTTCTCTTTCTAGCTTCCTCTCTCTCTCCCCCTATCCCTCATTTTCTTTCTCATTTTCTGTCTCTTTCTCTTTCCCTCTCTTTTTCACTTTCTCACATTCTTTCCTCTCTCCCTCTTTCCCATTCTCTTCTCTGTCCCTCTTTCTCACTTTCTCTTTTCCTCTCTCTCCTTTTTTCTTTTTGTTTCTCTTTTTCTGTCTCTTTCTCTCCCTTTTTTTCGCTTTTTCTCTTTCTTCCTCTCTTCCTCTCAC